GTGTGTGTGTGTGTGTGTGTGTGTGTGTGTGTGTGTGTGTGTGTGTGTGTGTTAGGGAGGGAGTTCACCACTGGGGAGCAAGGCTGGCTTCCCTTCCCCATGGTGTGACACCTCTGCTCTGTGTGTCTTGTAATATTCCCAGGGTCCTTTCCAACAGCTTCAGTAATATCGTACCAGTTGTCCTTATGGAGAGCTCAGCCCTGTGGCTGGTTCTCTGCTGACTGCCTTTCTAGAATCATTTCCTGAGACTGGGAGGAAAGTAGTCACTCAGAGAGGCTGTATTCCTATGGCTGGAAGTTGGTGGCCAGAGAGAATCCTTTGAAATCCTCCTCCAGGGCAGGAGAGGTTTCTCACCTCTTCATTTACCTTCCTCTGCCGTCTGTGTTTCTTAGTTGAGTAAGGTCTGTGTAGCCGGTGGCAGTGTCCTATTTCATGCAAGGGCAGATAGACCTTTCCTTGTTGCTTATATAATGCTCCTTTCTTCTTTCCCTCCATCTTTTCCTCCCTCTCCCCTCCTTCCTCTTCTGAGTGATGTTCTCTCAGGAATTAAACTGCTAACAGAAATACGGTTTTTCCTTCCTGGAGATCCCCAGTGCATGCTGATGTGACTGTGACAGGTGAAGCTTGCCTGGCCTTCCTTTTTGTGCTTGAAAGTAAAAGGTAGCTTGCTGTAAAACAGAGGGAGCAAAGCAGTTCAGAGGCAGGGGACTGCCTCCCAGCAGCAGCCAATGAATTTGAACAAAAAGAACAGGCATCTGACTGAACCATACCATTCTTGGGGGCTGATCTTGGAGAAGTAAGAAATGAACTTCTAGCCCTGAACACTTATGTTCATGTGGTTGTAATGGTACAAAGTCAGAGGTAGCCATCAGGGCATTGGTTGAATTCTTGTGCATTTAGTGAAAGGCTGTGGGGCCCTTTGGAACCTATGAGTGTCTGTCTATGTATATTGACAGGAGGCTGTTCAGTTATATAGCTGAGTAGAAAGAGCAGCTCTCCTCAATTGCTGTGTGGGTCATAAGCCATGGAGTAACCTAGGGTCAAAGTGAGGGCTTTGATGTTGGGGTGATTGGGTCTGCCCTCAGCCCTGTGACCATGTCATGGGACAGTGGATGCCAGCTGACTTGCCCCTAGACTCTGAGAGCACTATGTCTTTATCTGTGATGATTTCTTTTTTCTAGTTTGTATCTGGACTAAACCAGGACAGAGCTTTTACTGTGCTGAGTATGTGTCCTACATGTGTCCTATGTTCAGTTGGGGGTCTTACTGGAAACCCAGGCTGGCCTGGAGCTCAGTCTGCTGAGTGCTGAGATTATAGCATGTGCCATTGCATCTGGATAGCTTTGGGACCATCTTACCTGAGTTTCCTTTGCCTTGCTTGTATTTTGACTTTTCAGAATCTAAAGTACGGAACAAGTGTGGGGATGACTTCTAATATTTTAGTGGAAGTTCTTTTAATCATTTGGCAATCTGACTTCATGTTAGACTAGTCTAAAGAGAAGGAGGTTTGAAGAGCTGCCAAGTGCTGTGTGTGGTCCTTAGCAACCACACGTGGTTCCCTCCCAGGCAAAAAGAGGTGCCACAAACTCAACTGTGGAAACCGAGCCCCTCAGCCTTCTTCTGAATGATCGAAACTCCTACAAGCAGGATTAATGTGTTGAAAATGAGAACACTTTTTTCTTATTTTAGTAAAAGGGAAAATCAGATAAAAAAAAATGCAAGATGGGTGTCACAAGGCGCCCTGGCTTTTATATGAAACATCAGGAATCTCAGAGGAGGCAGAGGCTGGGAATAGAACTCTCAGGGGGAGGGACGAGTACTGCTGTAGGAAATCACCGTGCAGCAGAAGTGACTGAAGAATTAGGTCACCTAAATAATGATAGATTGTGCTCTCGGGGCACTTAGGCAAGGGACTTGCAGTATCTTGTTAAAAAAAAAAGTTAATCATTTTCAAATAGTAGATGAACTGATGTCAGTTTGGAAGGTACAGTTGAAGGGACCATGTGACACTGGTGCTAAGAGCTCTTGGATAGCTGGGGATGAGGCAAGGGGAGGCCAGAACTGTGTGTCTTTAGCTGAGCTTCCAAATAGGATGTTGTGAAGTCTGGCCACAGCAGTTGGCATGCACAGCTCAGGCAGGTGTGGGGGACTTTAGCTTTGAGCACCTGATGTATACATTGGAAACGGGAACAGAAAGTTCCAGCCAAATGTGCTGTGGCAGGCCTGAAGCCCAACATTTGGGAAGTTGAGTTTACAGGCTAAGTTTGAGGCTAGCCTGGGCTACATAGGAGGACTCTGTGTTGATGATTAGGGGGATGAGATTGATGGTGATAGTGATGACAATGGTGATAGAAATTAAAAATCTAAGAAAGGGTGATTATCCAGAAGGGCTTTTCCTAATATTCTTTGAAGGCAAGATTTTTCTTCCTTGCTACAGCTAAAATGAGATTGTAGTCAGTAAAAGATTGCCACTTCATTTCAGGCACACCATGCACAGAAAAGGGTAGCCATCATGCACAGCTTGCTATGGATAATAGGAAAAAAAAATCCCCAAGAAACTATGTGTTGCTGAGTATTTGGAGGAGGAAGTAGGGGGAAGGCCTGGGCCCGACTTCAGTGGTGATTCTTAAAGAGTTGCACGGTCCCTAGCTGAGTCTCACAGATCAGCTTGTAGATGGTGAAGGAGAACAGAGGAAAATGTAGCTCAAGGCTGGCCCTGGGAGGTGCCTTAGGTTGCTGACTTCCATCCACCTCAGTTTTGGCATCTGCAAAATAGGCATAGTGAACCTTCTAAGGGCTGTGGCTGGGGGCTATGATGTGAGTGACCTCCATTGTTGCAGGCGGTCCTGGAAGGCCTTGTGGAGGTAAATGGAAACCCCAGCTCGACTGAAGAACGGGGGCTAGCAGGGAGGGGGCCATGCTAATAGGTAGGTACATGCATGGTAAGGGTACACCCCACAGTACTTGAGAAGGACGGGATTGGGGGGCTGCAGTGGCAGGGTCAGGTCGGATCCAGCTGCAGAGGTGGCTAAAGCCACATCAGAACAGGGAACCCTGGAGGGTTTTAGAAAGAAGACAATCTCAAGAGAGCAGTGCTCTGAGGAATAGCAGGTGGTGGAAGCATACCAGGTCACTTCGGGGAAGACTACTGGTAGCTGTGAAAGACAGGAGTAGAGATGGATAATTTCGCTAGTCTACACGCAGAGTTGCGAGAGTCCTGCCATCTGTAAATTGTCGATTTCGTGTTTCAAGTCCATTCCCACTCTATCTGGTTTATATTAATATTCTCTCTCTCCTTCTTTCTCTCTCTCTCTTTCTCTCTCTTTCTCCCTCCCTCCCTCTACCCCTCTCCTCCCCCTACCCCTCTCCTCCCCCTCCCCACTCCTCCCTCTTCCTCCCCCCCCTCCTGTCTCTCTCTCTCTTTCTGTGTGATCTTCTTTTTTAAGATTTATTTGTTTTATATATGTGAGTACACTGTGGCTGTCTTCAGACACTAATGGGCATCAGATCCCATTACAGATGGTTGTGAGACACCATGTGGGTGCTGGGAATTGAACTCAGGACCTCTGGAAGAGCAGCCAGTGCTCTTAACCGCTGAGCCATCTCTCCAGCCCCTTGTGTGTGATCCTCTTATGTGAGTCACTTTCCTGAAGCCCTTCCCTCCCTTGGCCTTGCAGTACACGCTCCTCTCATTACCCAGTGGCCTCTCAGGAGCTTCGTGGCCTCAGTCACTTCTGCTGGTGTGTGGAAGGCTGTGTGACTTTGGGGAGTAGGCAGCTGTGTCACAGATGAAGGGAAGTCTTTGAGCCTGTCATACAGTGATGGCTTTGTTGAGGTGCACCCTGCGCCATGTCTGGGGATCGGTCTGCTTCAATTATCGAAATTCTTTGTGTGCTCTTACCATTCTGGCTTTCCGATGGAGGCAGCCATGTCTTGGATATCACACAGCTGAAAGGAGTCCAGCTGTGTGGTACTAACTCTAAAACCAACAGGTGTCTAGAGTTGGCCCTTCTAGGAGTTTCCTGATAGACTGACCCAGCCTGCTTACTGGAAATTACTCCTTAAACACTGTAAAACATAGGGCAGGCAGGGTGACACACACCTCTAATCTCAGTTGTTGGGAAATTGAGGTAGGAGGGTCTCCTCAAGTTTGAGGTCAGCCAGAGCTACATAATGAATCTGAGGTTGAGGCTAGCTTAGGCTACATAAAAAGACCCAATTTTGAAAATGAAAAGTATAGGGCCAGTAAGATGGGCTCAGTGGGTGCAGACACTGTGGTAAGACCACACAAGCCTAGTGACCTAAGTTCCATCCCCAGAACCCACATAAGTGTAAAAGGAGAGAGCCAGATCTCTGAGGCTGTCCTCTAACCCCCACACATGCCCCACAGCATGCATGTGCCTGCATTCACACTCACAGTAGTAAATAATAGCAGTAGTAGTATAGTAACATGAAGCTGGAGAGATGGCTTAGCAGGTAAGAGCACTTGCTATGTAAACATAAGGAGCCAAGTTCGAATCTGTAGTACCCATGTAAAAAGTTGGCTGCCCGTTCTTGTGGCTGCATGCTCCTCTGGTGAGTACAGAGACAGAAGAACTGCTGGGTTTACTGTCCACTAGAATAGCTCCAGACTCAGTGAGAGATCCTGCCTAACAGGGACAAAGCCGAGAGTGAAGGAGCAGGGCAGTCCGTGTCCTCTTCTGGAGTCTGTGTGTGCATGAACCTGTACACACAGGCGCTCATATACCACTCACACGTACCTCCTGTATACCCACAAACATGCAAGATGAGGATCTTAGCACAGACTTCTAGTATCTAAGCTTCTGCACACAGTTGTCTTCCATTTGTTTATTAGGAAGAAATCCCAGTGAAGAGAATTGACAGGAGCAGTGGGAGAAAACCGTTGTAAGCATCCGTCAGTTAGGGTCAGTTTGAAACCGTCTGCCTGTGGTGTGACTGCTCAGCTGTTAGGATGGTGGTCGACTGGTGTTGCCAACATGGAAGCACCAGGGCTGGGCTTGACTCTTGAGTAGACAAGGTAATTTGCAATCAAGTGTATGTAGGGTTGTCTTGTTCCTATAAAAAACAAAACAGGCTTCTATAATGATAACAAGGCAAAGGGAAAGTTCTAGAAAGACCAACACCAAAATGTTATCAGTTATGATTAGAAGGGGAGGGACCATATCTTTCTAGATGCACATCCATAGTCTCAGAACTTTTGTGTATACCCATTTCCTTTATAGTTTTATAAAAATAACAAAATGCAGACGTAACGGAATGTAGGAGCAAGAACAATAATAAGGTTATAAACAAAGGCCAGCAACAGAGTGCATGCCTTATGCATGGCAAGTTCTGTTGCCCGAGAGAGCGGTATGTGTCAGGCTGGGAGTTCTTCAGGGGTGTGGCCTGGCTAGAGGCTTGTTATGACCTCAGCTGTCTTTGAACTGTTGGTCCTCTTGTCCTTGTCAAAGATCAGAAAAAAAGATTAAATAAATTAAATCACCCTCTAGTGGATTCATCTTCTTGTGTAGCGCTTGGCTCCCTGAACACTTAGGGATGCGCCTTTGTTCCGTATGGCGGCCCCAGTTTGGTGCGTTGTATGTGTTGCTTTGTCTCTGTGTGGTATTGTGTATGATGTATGAACTCGTTAGTGTCTCTAGCACTAACATAGGTAGATGTTGTGTGTTTTCCTCAATTAGATTCTACCTTTATTTTTTTTTTTTACTTAAAATTTACTTACTATTTTTTCGTGGGTTGAGGAGGGGTGTTGCAGGTGCCACAGTGAACACATGTAGGTCAGAGGACAACTGTGTGTCCTTTGTACCTGTTCTGGGGATTGAACCCAGGTCTCCAAGCTTGCCTGGTTAGAGCCTTTACTTGATGAGCCATCTTGCCAGCCAGCCATCTCTAGTTTTGGAGACAGGGTTTCTCACTAAACTCAAAGTTCATTGAGTAGGCTGGGCTGGCGGGCCAGTGAGCTTCAGGGATCCTGCCTCCATTCCCTCAGTCTCCAGTTCTGAGGTATAGACTACATTGCCTGGCTTTTACTTCAATTTTGAGGATCCAAACTCAAGTCTTTATTATGCTTTTGAAGCAGGCTGGCTGAGCCATTTCTCCAGCCTCCCAAAAAAGGTATTTTAGAAAAATTGTTTTCCCTATAGATGGGCATCTTCCCTAGCTCATCTTTTCAGAAGTGTTAAGTAGGTCAAGCATGGTGGCCCATCACCCAAGAGGCTGAATCAGGAAGTTGAAGAGGCTAGCCTGGGTCACATAGCAAGTTTTAGTTCAGCCTGGGCTATACATCAAGACTGTCTAAAAACCAAGAAAAAGGCAACACATTTCTGTGCATGTGAGTGTACGGAAGAATGGCACTCAAGAAATTGTGAGATCCAGCCTGCCATCCTGCCTGCCTTCTCCCCTGTGTCCCAGACATTGGTCAGTGTGTTAAGTTACTCCTTCAGTCGGTTTTGAATGAGTGTTTGTACGTTGTGGAGTATCACAGTTGTATAGAACGTCCCTTTCCCAGCTTTTCTGAGACAGCACTTGTTATTAGTCATCAAGGGTAACTTTTTAAGTAGAGGTTCGTCTCAAGTGGGTCTGGAAACCATTGAGACAGCATCTTAGCAGCAGTCGGGATGCCTCTGGCTATGAGGAACAGACAGTCAACAGGCCTGGCTGGCAAATATAGTTCTGTATGTCCTTCAGCAGCAAGGCATTCTGTAGCCCCCCTGCTAGGAGTGAGGTGTCTGCAGCCACTCCAACCCTTACGTCATAATTTGATTTTTTTTTTTCTCTCAGAGTCCTTAGAATATTCCCAGCCTGTCTCGGCAGCCAGAAATGGATCACATGACCAAGTCTACAAGGAAAAGCAGAGTGAGGCTGCCATGACTTAGCGGAATATTTGTCAGATAACTCAGGCCCTCCAGCTGGGGAGCACAGACTGGGAGAACTGAGCGACAGGCCTTCTCTGTCTCAGTTCTGGAGGCCTTGAAGGTCAAGCAAGGTCGAGATACCAGCAGAGCTGGTCTCTGGGGAGGCCTCCCTCTGCTGTTTGCAAATGGCTGCATCCTTGCTGTGTTCTTCCGTTGTGCACACACCTCCCTGCTTCTCTACCTTCCTTCCTAAGGATGGTAATCGTTTTGGATGGGGTCCCACCCTGATGACCTCAGTTAACCTTAGTACTTCCCCAAAGGCCCACTTCCTGATTAATAGCTCATTGGAATTAGAGATGGGGGCACATGATTTAGTTGACAACAGGATCTAGTTTGATGTGGGGCACAGTCCAGAATTTGAAAAAGGGATCCTAAAAATGCATGGGCAGTTATTTTGGCTTCAGGGTCAGATTTAGACACAAACCTCATTTCCATTCGTTATGAGGAAGCCCTTGCCTTGTCTGGTATAGCCTGTGTGTGCAGGGTCTGATGTTTCCCAGGCCTCTGGTCCCATGACTAAGCATGCAGAAGAGAGGAAAGTTATTCTAACACCCAAGGCCCAGTGAGTCTTAGGTCAAATGCTCAGTGTCCTTCTGTCCTAGGCTTGATCTTGTGTGTATACAAAACAGTTCCCAAACCACTGCCCTAAAGGCCACTTCATGCATCGATTTTTCAAAACAAAACAGAAAACCCAGGAGCTCTTTAGAAGACACGTCATTGTCTTAAGATAGCTCCAAAGCCATTAGTGCCCAGGAGTAAATCGTTCCCCTTCAGGGGAAAGGACACTCTTGGAACTTAGGAAAGGACCCATGGCAAAGAATGTTCTCTTTGGTGCCAGCCCATTTGGGGTCATTGCTGGCCCTGGTTGCTGGCAGTGTGACGGTGGCTAAAATCTGTTGCTGTGCCATGCCTCAGTTTCTCTTCTGTGAAATGGGAGAAGAGTGGTACAGCTGGGTGGGAGAGGTGAGAACATGGAGCAAAGGCTTATTCTGTGACTCGTGAGCACTGAGCTGTGGCCTGGCATTTATTGATTGCTTTTTGATTGCGCTACTGAGCAGGCCATGGGCCCTTTGACAAACAGGTAGGCGTGTCATATGAACTTACGAACTTTCCATCCTTGTCTTGCCCAGGAGCCAGAGGTGCATCATTGTGTAGTGACCTTATGGGTAGGATGATGCCACCCATGTCCTCTGTGAGTGTGAGGAGACACATCTCAGGAAAGTTGGTTTCTCACCAAGGGCTACTTTGGTAGCCAGAGAGGCTGGATCTGACCCTGGACATACCTGATGCTCAGGCCTGGTTCTTTATCCATCCCTTTAAATGCCTTAAAAATGAATTGTTTTGCATCCTTATCCTTCCCATTCTGGTCAGGCACAAAGGAGGATGGGAATTTACATTACGTAAATTGACTGCTGTCTAGAGCGTGGCACTTTGCTTTGCTTTATTATATCCGCCATGCTGATACTTTCCTCTTAAACTTCCTAGGCTTTGCTGACGGAGATGATGGAAAGATGTAAGAAATTAGGGAACAAGTAAGTACCTTAAAGACTCATAAGTTGGAGTTAGTGGCGTGTGTGTGTGTGTGTGTGTGTGTGTGTGCGCGCACGTGTGTGTGTGTGTTCAAGTGCATGCACAGAGGTCAGTGTCAGATGTCTTTCTCTGTTTCTTTCCACCTTATTTTTTTGAGATGGGTCTCTCATGAGCTCACTGGAGCTCACTGATTCCATTAGCTTGGCTGGCCAGCAAGCCCCAGACATCTTCCTGTCTCTGCCTGCCAGCAATGGGATTACAGGTGTGCACCACCATACCCAGGTCTTTATAAAAGTGCTGGAAATTTGAACTTAGCTCCTCATGTGCTGTAAGCATTTTGCCAACTGAGCTATCTCCTCAGCTCCATTCTAACTTAGCTTTGTGATCTTGGGCCATTTACCTGACAGCCTTGTACCTCAGTCTTCCCCCTCTGCAAAATGGGGGTGATAATAATAGCCCTTTTTTATAGGGCTGTGGTAAGTGGTAGGGCCAGGATATACTAGGTTCTCCTGCTTCCTGAGTATATGAGGTTCTCTTTTGCTCCTCTCTTGGTGGCAGATACTGTACATCCTTGAGTGGGTTTTGTTCTGCCTCAAGTACCTTAAATTCAAAGCTCTCTTTTCATTAGAAATTCCTTTTATGAGCTGGAGAGATGGCTCAGCGGTTAAGACCACCGACTGCTCTTCCAGAAGTCCTGAGTTCAATTCCCAGCAACCACATGGTGGCTCACGACCATCTGTAATAGGATCTGATGCCCTCTCCTGGTGTGTCTGAAGAGAGTAATGGTGTACTCATATACATAAAATAAATAGATAAATAAATAAATAAATCTTTAAAAAAAAAGAAATTCCTTTTATAAAAGATACACATTTGTAGCAAGGACCTAAGTTCTTATTGAATATTGAGTTTTGTTAGTGCACCAGCCTCTTGAAGGCTCACTTCTACTTAAAGTGGGTCGGACTGTAGCTGATTCTCCTGTCCGTCCATCTACTTAATTCAAACCTTGTCAAATTCCAACCATCAGTGAGTCTATGGAAGCCTTAGAGACTGCCCTTGCTGTATCTGCTGCTTTGATTTTTTTTTTTTTTTTACTTTCTAACCTTCCCATTAAAAGCTGTCAGTCACCCTTCTTGGCAGTACACTTCCTAGCATTAAATGTGGCTTGCAAGCGAGGTGCGGGACACTTACCTGTAATCCCAGAATGTGAGGTGTGGAGATGGGAAGATTGTAGGTTCAGTGCCAGCCGGGGCTACAGAGAAGATAACTTGCTTTCAACGTACAAACAAAAGTAAGTAAGTAGATGCATACCGAGGAGGCTGAGTGACTTGGTGCCTGTGTCTTTCAGTGCTTTGCTCTTGAACTCCGTGATGTCAGCTTTCAGGGCTGAGTTCATTGCCACCAGGTCTATGGACTTCATCAGCATGATTAAAGAGTGTGACGAGTCTGGCTTCCCCAAGGTAGGCTCTGGACTTACTGCGTAATGGAGAAGAGACAGACCTTGTCTGATTGTCCTGGAGGGTAGAGACAGGTGGGGCAATGCGGGCCTAAAGGATGTGATGGCTGATGGCTGAGATTTGAGATCATTAATGCTGTGTAAGTGCTGTGCATAAATGCCGTTTAGGGGCTTGAGTACAGAATCCGTGAATGTACTCACTGTGGAGTATTAGGAAAGACTTTGGTCTCACGTCTTTAAAATACATCTGCTTTTGGGCTATGAAGGTTGCAGTCAGTTAAATACTTGTTCAAGCTTGATTGAGGACCTAAATTTGATGCTTATATAAAAAGCCTGGAGTGATAGCATGTACCTGTCATGCCAGTGCTGGGCAAGTAGAGACAGACAGACAGACAGGTCCCTAGGACCACTGGCCAGTCAGTCAGTCAGTCAGCCTAATTAGTGATGCAGGTGCCAGTAAGAGACCTTGTCACAAAAACCAAGCCTGGAGAGGTGACTCAGCGGTTAAGAGCACTGACTGCTCTCCTAGAGGTCCTAAGTTCAATCCCCAGCAACCACATGGTGGCTCTCAACCATCTGTAATGGGATCTGATGCCTTCTTCTGGTGTGTCTGAAGACAGCTACAGCGTACTCATCATGTATATAAAATAAATAAGTAAATAAAAAAAAAAGATTAAGAAAAAAAAAAAACACCAAGGTAGGCGGCTCCCAGGAACAACACTCAAGTCTGATCTACGGCCTTTTCATACACATGGACACATATATGTGAACACACACACTCTTCTGCTCTACCCACCACCCCTGCCCCACCCCAACCCCCACCCTACCCCCATCCCACCCCAACCCCCACTCTACCCCCAACCCCTGCCCCACCCAATTAGTGAAAACTTCTTCCAGATTAGACCTGCAGAGTAGGCCACTATCCTAAGCCAGCTCACTTTGAGGTGTGTTGGGAACTGAGCTCAGGCTCCGGCAGATGCATGCTCTACCCTGAGATGCTTTGGCAGCTGGAGCCAGCCCTGAGTTTCTCAGAGTTGTTTGGATGGATCCATACAGTCTCAGAAAGAAGTCTTGGGAAGGTTTCTCTGGACACAGATGAAATGTTGGAGCCCTTTCCTTCTCTTTTTAAGCCTTGTCATTTTGACTTAAAATCTCTAGTAACATAACTGTTTGCTATTTTCCTAGCATCTCCTTTTTCGCTCATTGGGGTTAAACTTGGCCTTGGCTGATCCTCCTGAGAACGATCGACTTCAGATTCTCAATGAAGCTTGGAAAGTCATCACGAAATTGAAGAGTCCCCAGGTGAGTGGGCAGAGACTGTAGCTCCACTGTTTTTATAGAAGTTGTGTGATATACATTTAATTTAAAAAAATTTGTGTGGGTGTTTTGCTCCATGTATGTTTGTGCACCGCATGTGTACAGTGACTGTGGCGGCCAGAAGCAGGTGTTGGGTCCCCTGGGACTGAAGTGATGGATGGTTATGAGCCGCCACATGGGTGCTGGCAATGAAACCTAGGCTCTCTGCAACAGTAGCGATTGTTCATAACTGTTGATTGTTCTTAGCCGTCTCTCCAGCTCCATACATTTTGTTTTTAAAGAAACCAGCTTTAGCCATCTATGGTGATTCACGTCTGTAATTGCAGTGTTCAGGAGTCTGAGGCAGGAGAATGAAGCATTTGAGATCAGCCTATGCTACATAAGGGAGACCCTGTCTCAGAAAACCAAAACCAAACATCAACTAAACCTAATGATAATAAATGAAATCTCTACTAATCAAACTTTAAACAAAAGAAACTGTCCTTGAATTATTTATTAACCTGTAGAGGGGTCAACTGACATTAAAGACATTTCTTAATTTTTCTGTCCCAATCGTATTTTGTTTCTGAGGCCCCACAATACACTGAAAGCATACAGTTACCAGTATTGAAACGTTGGGAGTCTTCTAGCTGAGCAAAGGGCAACCAGAGTGTACCAGCCAAGAGTGTATTTATAAGGTAGCCATCTACTAGGATAGCCCTAAAGGACCGAGGACTAGCTGTTGAACACCAGGGCTGCCAGACAGACCAGCTGGCAGCATTTGCTGTTGTGCATGTGATGATGGCCATGGCCGTCTGGGGTGTGTGCATGTAACTGCACTTGTGCCTTGGTATCTGTGTACAAGTCTGAGGGACAGTTTCAGGAGCAGGTCCTGTCTCCTGGCCTTGTTTCTGAGCAGCTCCGGGCGAGCTGCCTGTGGACTTTCCTCCTCCCTTGCTTTTTGTTTGTTGATCGTCTTTGTTCCTGGCTGATGGTACTCTAGGTAGACCAGACTGGCCTGGAACTCATAGAGCCTTGTCTCCTGGGTGCTGGGATTGAAAGCTTTACCATGGCATCAGGCTTTTAAACATGGGTTCTGGGAATCAACTTTAGGTTGTTAGTCTTGGTGGCAAGTGCTCTTACCTGATGAGCCATGTCCCTGGCCCCTTTAGGGCTTTTTAAACTTTTTCATAAGATAGTTTTACAAAACTTCTGTAGATCAAATGCTTTCTTTTTAAGGCAACAAGCAAACCTTGAAGTCTCAGTCAGACCTCCCTGGGGTTTAATGCTGGGATGTGAGGGATTTTATGCTGAGGAGCAAGGGCTCCTCACATCCTGGGCCCTTTGCTCCTTAAGCAAGGCAGAGCTCCCTAGATTTGTATCTTGGCCTAAGGAACAATGCTGGAATCAGAGTCTACAGCGAGCTTTGGGCTACGTGTTTCCTTTTATAACTTGCTTTTCATGGTGACACATGTCAGTCAATTAAATGTCATGCTACTCTGACTAAGCATGAGACAGAAGCAACCTAAGGAAGGCAGTTTATTTTGGCTCCCAGTGGAGAGGATACTACTGTCAGGGCAGGGAGGTGAGGGAGCAGAAGAACTCGGTTCATGCAGTAGGGGCTTGTGCTGTGTGTAGCCTGTTACAGCTTGGTGGAGTCAGGAAGCTGAGAGACCAGGCTGGAAGCTAGGCTGGGCTATAGCCCTCAAAGGACATCCTCCTCCAGCTATGTCTCCTGTCTGTATGTTCCATACCCTCTCAGAACAGCCCCAGCAGTGGGAGCCTGTGAGAGACATATTCTAGCCATAAGAGTCAGCCAGACAGTGTCTGTCTGTCTGTCTGTCTGTCCGTCCGTCCGTCCCTCCCTCTCTCCCTCCCTCCCTCGAGCCCTTGAAGATTTGTCTGTGATTTTTGTGACAGAAGTTAAGAGGTGCTGTGCTCACCCTAAGCTACTTTCCCTTTCCTTGTAGGACTACATTAACTGTGCCGAGGTTTGGGTAGAGTACACCTGCAGGCATTTCACGGTGAGTGTGGGGTTGTTTTCCAAAGGGTTTTGTGCTTTAATGGTTACCAGAGCAACAGCGTCAGCCCACCTAGGAATATTGCAGTGATTCTTGAGCTGGGGCCATGCTTTGTTGTACAGACAGGCCTCAAAGTTCTGGGCTGAAGGGGTAGCTGGCGCTGTAGGCACACACCACTCAGCCCAGCTCTTAAAAGTCCCGGTTTGGGAGCTTTAGCATGTGTTGTCAGCAAGTTTGTCCCACACTGGCAGAACCCTGCCACATCGGGCTGGGCAGTGCTGTGTCAGATGAGGCTAAACAGTGGTCCCTCGGTTACTGAGATGCTAAGATGCTTTGTAAATTTCCATGAGCACATAGTAGATAACATTTTCCTTTCCTTTTCTTTCTTTTTTAAAAAATGATTTATTTATTTATTTTATGTATATGAGTACACCATTGCTCTCTTCAGACACACCAGAAGAGGGCATAAGACCCCATTGCAGATGGCTGTGAGCCACCATGTGGTTGCTGGGAATTGAACTCAGGACCTCTGGGAGAGCAGTCAGTGCTCTTAACCAATGAGCCATCTCTCCAGCCCTTCCTTTTCTTTTTTCTATTTTATTTAATATTGTTGTTGTTTAGCATTCTCAAACATTCAGAGCTCGCATGTGCTTCCCACACACAAGCAAATACCAATGCTTCTTTTCCTGGGTGCAGACAGAACCATAGTTTGGGGAGTTTTGGACTCCTCAAACAATAAGAACTCTAGAAGCAGATAGAAGGGGGCTCTTCTGACTTTCTTGCCAGAGTTAACTTGTTTTAAAAACATTATTAAATATCTTGGTGTGTGTGTATGTATGTGTGTGTGTGCTCCGTATGCACATGTGGAGGTCAGAGGTCAATACTAGGTGTCTTCCTCTTACCACATCATCATCTAGAACTGGTTTTCTTTTTTTAAAGTTTATTTCTTGTGTGTGTGTGTGTGTCTGTGTGTCTGTGTGTATGCGTGTGCCTGTGGAAGCAGAGGTGTCAGAGTCAGGTCCCTTCAGCTGTAATCAGAGTCCTTTGTGAGCTGTCTAGTGTGGTTATTGGACTTCAAACTCCGGTCCTCATGATAGAACGGCAAGCGTTCTTAACTCCTGAGCGTCTCTCCATCCATCCATCCATCCATCCATCCATCCATCCATCCGTCTCATTTATCATTATTATAGGTGTATGGGTGGGCTATGTGTATATCTCTAGCCACTCTGTTCCCAGCTGTCTCCAGTCCTGGAGTTACAGGTGTGCAGAACTGCTCCTAGCTTCTTATGTGGGTGCCAGGGACCCCAACTCAGACCCTTATGCTTGAGCACCAAGCTTTTTACCAGTTAGTGCAGGGCTGTGGTTTGGACGTTTGTGTCCACCCTGACTCCTTGATTCACGTGCTCAAACCTGTTCCCTGGGGTCTCAGAATTAAAAACTGGAGCCACAGGCAGCTGCTTGCACCTCATGCTGCTGGCTGGCATTCTGAGCGCAGGTCATACCAACTTTTGTTAACTTTCCCAAGGATGCCAGTGTAATTTAGAAAGATGTATCGTGTTGTGAGAGTGGAGCCCTTATGGGTGAGACTAGTAGCCTTAAAACAAAATTCCAAAGGAGTCCATTGGCCCCTTCCATCATTAGAGGACCCTGCGAGCAGGAGCTGTTTGTGAGGAGCAGGCTTTCTTCAGACCCTGAGTCTGTTGGTGCCCTGATCTGACACTCTGAGCATCTAGGGCCACAAGTAGGAAAGCTCTGCTGTCTTGAAACTACCTCCATATGGTGTTCTGTTAGAGCAGACAGTGTATGAAGTTGCATGGCTGGATTCCTATAAACCGTGCTTACACACACTGAAAATTCAGATCTCAGAAATTTTGTTGTCATGAAACACTCTCTGGGCTGAATGTAGAACTTATTCTTCAGTTGCTGGCTATGTAACAATAGGCTGGATCTGGGCTATACATGGCCAGCCCCTGGCATAGATGACTGAAGTGAGTGGTTGGGGCAGATGGCTTGTAGGGGGTGAGTCTACACCCTTCCCACATTATCCCATTGCTCGCTTTCCAAGTACTGAGGCAGGAACCTGGGCCAGGTAGGCAGAAAGTAGCCTAAATGACTTTATCTTTGTAGACCACTGTTCAGTACTGACTTAGAGTAACAGCCATCTTGAGGGTGGGGGGTACTAGACTGAGGCTGCAGGCAGGATTTCTTTCCTTTTATTTATTCTTTTGGAATATTTGAAATGATCTCCTGGAAGGTGTGTGACTTTTCGTTTGTTTGGTTGGTTGGGTTTTGGTGCTAGTTTGAACCTAGGGCCTCATACATGCTGGGTGCGTGCTCACTGAGCTATCCACCCAGCCTGGTTTCATGAGCCTGTCAGTGTTTTCTCCCAGGAAGATGGCTGGGCATCTCAACCTAACAATAGAGTTGGTTTTTGTTCCCTGTGTAGAAGCGAGAAGTTAACACTGTTCTGGCTGACGTCATCAAGCACATGACTCCGGATCGAGCATTTGAGGACTCCTACCCCCAGGTAACAGGTTTGCACTTCCCACTGTGGGGATCTTGTTCTGTCCAGTGAAGAACTCTTGTTGTACTGGTCAGATGTACACCTGGGAATCTGTGTTTGATCTTGGCTCTGGTACATCTTAGTCTCAGGCCTCACTTTTGTTCTCTGTAGAATGGGGCTAATGTTAGTCCTATCCGCAGAGTTGTTGTGAGGGTTGGGATGTGGCATAGAAATACTGAAGTTATTTTGGACATATGGCAAAGTCTGAATAAAGCATTGTCAAGATCCCCAGTGTATAAAATGCCTGCATTTCCTGGTAAATGAAATTAAACATTAAAAAAAAATTAATGTTATCTCCAACTTTTGCTAAATAAAGTAAAATAAAAAAATGAAAATAGAATAAAACATAAAAATAAAATTGAATCATCACTACTTAACCAAGCAGCCACTGCCTACCTCAGCCTACTAGTAAATTCTAGGCCAACCTGGGCTTCATGAGATCCTGTCTCAAAACAAGCAGTGTGTGTGTGTGTGTGTGTGTGTGTGTGTATTATGTGTGTGTGTGTGTGTGTGTTATGTGTGTGTGTGTGTGTGTGATCTTAAAGTAGTCCATTCCAAGAGGGGGAGAGGTCACACTATGTTATAATCCTGTCACACTAAAAAGAACTCAGAAAAGATGCCCAGAGTGCTGGACATTAGTTCAGTAGATAAACTTAAGACAGAAATATGTGAAGCACTATCGAAAAATTGGTCAGATAGCATGCACAGAAAATCGGGGTTCTCTGATAAAGCAGCGTCTAAGGCAGGCAGCTGTCCACACAGTCACACTGCCGACCAGAGAAGGCTCGTGAGGGCTATCCTGGAGACACGAGTGAGTAAACCTGCCTTTGGAAAGGAAAGAGCTGAGGAAAAGCAGACATGGATGCAGGGAAGAAACTGACTCCAGTTACCCTACCTGGGGTGCAAGCCCTCCTGTTGAGGTATTCCCGTTTGTTCCTGGGCCTCCTGGTAAATTGTCACTTTACTACTGTGACATTTATTAAAGCCACCAGTCACATTGAATGTTTTGTATGTTCAGTTCAGTACCCATATATTTTATGGTAAATCTTTATGCTCCTACATGCTATTTTGAGATAATAAATTATCAAATAACAAGAAAAAAATAGATGTATGTAAGGTGGCCTGTTCGTGGCAGTGCCCTTTGCTGAAGAGAGCATCATGTCAGAAAAGGGGAACTCCAGTGGCCTGGTGAGAAGTGGCTTACTGCTAGGATGAAGAAACAGAGTAAGCCTGGAGCTAATTTTAGAAACATGTATATTGTGTTTATTTATTTTGTGTGTGGTGTGGGTCCATGTGCAGGTCAGAGGACAGTCTGTGGAAGTTCTCTCCTTCCACCCTGTGAGTCCTGGGAGTCAAACTTGAGTTGTAAGGCTTGATGGCAAGCTGTTTTACCTACTGAGCCTTATGGATGGCTAGCATTTTTTGTTTTTGTTTTTCACTGTGTGCCAGAAAATAAGGAAGTGGTCATGAGGGTGTGAAATAAATGAGAACAGATTGAAGAAGCACTCCTGGGCTTCCCATCTGAACAGCATAAGGAACTGGGGAGAGCTGAGGTGTAGCTCCCCAAGTCAGAGTACTTGATTTGCAAGAACCTGAGTTCAAATCCCTAGCACCCATGTGAAAAGCCCTCTCCCAGTTGTGCGATCCAGGAAACCAAGACTTCAATACAAGGATCTTTGAGAGACACCTATTCAAACCGTAGCACATACGTTGGTCAAATTAGTAACATTTGGTGAATTTGGGTAAAGAATGTACAAGAGCTCTTAGTGTAATGCTTTTGGCTTTCCTGTAAATTTGAAATTATTACAAAACAAAAAAATATGTACACTGTGTTTGTATATCACACCATTCTGGGTGTTTGGGTGAGGGGATACAACAAGGGAAGACATATGTTCCTTTTGTAGAATCCACTAAGAAGTAAATGGGTGCTAGACAAGGTCTTCTGTTTGCTGCGTTTTCATAATGAAAAGTCACTGGGAAAAAAACCTTATCTTTTAAAACCGTAACATACACGTAGCTATGCATAAGTGTTTAAAAAAATGTTTCTGTTCCACAGGGATTAGTTAACTGTGTTAGAATATTCTAATGTGTCATAATGCCCTGTGACATTTCTCATCACGAAGTTTTCCTTTTCTTATTGTTTTCAAATGAGGGAGGTCTCCCATGTCTTGACTGGGCTGGCCTTGAACTCACTATCTCCCTGCCAGTACTCTCCTTAGTCTTCCCCTCAACTCTGCCGGCCTGCTGCTTCCTTAAGAAGTGAACTTGTACACTTGACTTTTGTGCTTGTAGATCTTGAGAGGAGACATGGCAGTAGTTGCTAGTACAAACAACGGGTTTGGAAGTGCTCTGGGTAGCAGCCAAAGGCCAGGGATTACCTTTTATTTAGAAGTAGCATCTCCCTTCTTCTACCAGGCTGAGCCTTTTTGGTCACAACTCTGGATGAAGGCAGTAGATAGGAAGCTCTGGGCATTTCTGAGGTTTGGTACGATCTTTGGGTCAGTGACCTTTGATTTCACTGATAAACTCCATCATCTCCCTCTCACTGAAGTAATAAAGAAATGCAGGACCATGATGGGCTACAACAGGGGATGACAATCTGTGGCCCATACCCACTTGTAGACCATCACTTGTTTGTTTAAGTAAAGTTTTATTAGCACATAGACACTCATGTGTTCCCATGTTGGTTCTAGCTGCTTTCATGTGTCACTGACAGCTTGAAGAGTTGTGAGAGACTGTGGACTTGAGCTGTTTGTGGTCTACTAGACTAGCAACAGAGGTTGGGGTGAGATCCATGGGTGTTGTTTAGTTGGTAGAGTGCTTGCCTAGCATACACAAAGCCCTGGAGTAGGTACCCCAGAACCACATAAGACAGGTATTGCGGCACATACCTATAACCTCAGCGTTGGGTTGGTAGAGGTGAAAGGATTAGAAGTTCCAAGTTATCCTGTGTGTGGCTCAAGCCACCCTGGGCTTCCTTTTATTTTGAAAGATAAGTAGGAAGCATTGTAGAACAGGCTCTTCCCTGAGCACGTGAGCAGTCCTAGTTAATCATCATGGGACACTGCCACCGGGGAGAAGGGGCTGAGGCCAAGGCATGGTCCCCGCTGAAGGATGAGGTAGAGAAGGCAACTGACTGAGGCAGGGCCTAGCCTGGTCTATGTTTCCATCCTTGAGCAATCTGGGCTAGCTGTTGTGGTTGTGGTGGGGCGTGCTGAAGGAGGGCTACCTTTTTGAACACGGAGGTTTTATTAAGCAACTTGTGTTCTGTTTCACAGCTTCAGTCGATAATTAAGAAAGTCATCGCCCACTTCCATGATTTCTCAGTTCTTTTCTCAGTGGTGAGTAGCATCTCTCAGTGACCTTTGAAGACAAGTGTCTTCTGTTGCAGTAATGTTTTCCTGTTACCCAGGCCTTTGTAAAAGCAGGCCCTATCAGCTTAACAAGCAGTTATGCTCCAGTGACTGACGCACCATTAGGAATTACGGTACACACAGACTAAAAGAAAAACGCTGTTTCTGTTTAACTTCTTCCTCATCAGAGGGGTGTGCACTCCACATCTTGTAGGTTGAGCACCCGTTATCCTCAGAGCGAGAAGCATTTCATACTTGGTATTTTGTTGTTAGATTTGGGGACATTCATAGGACCCAAATCTAAACATAGAATTCACTCGTGTTTCATACATACCTCTACACAAAGCCAGAGTTTCATACAGCAGCTTAATGATTCTGGGCAAGAGACTAGTGGTGCAGCTCAGGGATGAGCCTGACATGTTCTGTGCCTACACCGCCAAACCGTGCAGCAACAACGACGCAGAATGTCACGATCGAGAACTTGAGGCATTGTGTTGACACTTTTCTGAAAATTATGGAATTATATCTAAAATTTCAGATTTTGGATTAAAGGTGTTTAATCTGTAATCATTGAAAAAAAACAAAACAACAACAACAACAAAAAGAATTTCAAGCTAGGTCTTTCAGGGGACTCTCTTGACAGCCTCCGCCTCCAAAAAAAAATGACCCACAAATTCTTTCTTTCTAGCTATTTGTGTCAGTTACACATCAAATGCTTTCTTTGTTCCTAGGAAAAGTTTCTACCATTTCTGGACATGTTCCAGAAAGAGAGTGTGAGGGTGGAGGTTTGCAAGTGCATCATGGAAGCCTTTATCAAGTGAGTACAGGGTGGCAAGCCTGGCTGGCCGCCGAGAGTCTGAGCACCATTCGAGCTGCGTTGGTGGTTCATGCACTCTGAAGCCTTGTGCTGAAAGTATACCTCATCCCTAAAACACCACAAGGAGAAAGGCAGATGCCGTGCCAGCTGTGCCAGCCTCAACGGCTCATTCCTATAATCCCATTGCCAGGAGGCTGAGGCAGGCGGATGATAGGTTCAAAGCTAGAAAAACCTTGTTGTTTGTGTGTCTGTGTATGTGAGAGAAATATATATATATATATATACACACACACATATATACTATATATACTTTTGTATGTATTATATTTATATATTTAAATTTAAATAATGTATACATGCAACCTATAATATGTAATATATATACTATGTATGTATTATATATATATAAAGATAATTTAAAATAATTTATTTTAAAAAAAGAAGAAAACAAACCAAGCAATCCATGAGGAGTAAGGCAGTAAGCAGCATTCCTTCGCAGTCTCTGCTTCAGTTTCTGCCCTGACTTTCCTTCATGACAGACTGTAAGCTGTAAGCTGAAATGAATTCCTCCCCCCACCATCTTTTTTTGTTACTTATTGGGGAACTGAAAAACTATGTTGGTAGTTAAGAGTACTTGCTGCTCTTGGACTGGACAAAGTTTTGGTTCGTAGCATCCACCTACAGCTCACAACTACCTATCACCCCAGTTTCAGGGTCTTGATGCTCTCTTCTGAATTCTATAGGCATCAGGTATGTATATGGGGCAGTGGGTATATGCAAGCTGTATACTCATACACTTAAATCTTTACAGTTTTATTTTAAATATATGGGTGTGTGCCTGAGTTATGTGTACTCTGTGTCTACATGAGTCCATGGGTGTCAGAAGAGGGCATCAGATCCTCTAGAACTAGAGTTATAGGTAGCTGTGAGCCACCCTGCTGGGAATTGAACCTGGAAGCAAGTGTTCTTAGCTACTGAGACATCTTTCAAGCCCCTTGATAATTTTTTGAATATCAGACATCATTTAAAAAGTTAGTATTTAATGATTAAGAAAGCAAAAGAAGGCTGGGCAGTGGTGGCGCATGCCTTTAATCCCAGCACTTGAGAGGCAGAGGCAGGTGGATTTCTGAGTTCAAGGCCAGCCTGGTCTATAGAGTGAGTTCCAGGACAGTCAGGGCTATACAGAGAAACCCTGTCTCAAAAAAACAAAACAAACCCCCAAAACACAAAAAACAAAAAACAAAACCCTCAAAATGTCTCTTAATACATGCATGTAATCAAAATGGTATAAAAACATAACAGAAGAGGGGGTATAGGATAGGGTGTTCTAGGGAAGGGAAATGGGGAAAGGGGATGACATCTGTATCATAAATAAATAAAATATTCAATAAAAAAAAAAAAAAAGGTTTGGAGAGATGGCTTAGCCGGTGCTTGCCACCAGGCCTGATGACCTAAGTTCGGTACCTAGAACCCATATAATGGAAGGAGAGAACTAACTTCCCACGCATGCCATGGGACACACACACACAGACACACACACACAGACACATACACACCCAAAAATAAATAAATGTTAAAAAAAAAGACTAAGTAAGTATAAATTGCCCCATGTTGACATGATGCTGACCACCAGTTCCATGCCTTCAACATGATTTTAAGAATCTTTCTTTGCATTAGGATTGATATTTGATTGTTTGTTTTGCATCAGTCAGGGTCTTATATAGCCATGGCTACCCTGGTATATCCTATGTAGCCCTGGATGGCCTTGAACTTGCAGTTGAGCTTGTCTCAGCCTCCCAATTACTGGAGTTGCTGCAGTGTGCCGCCACATGCACTTTGAAGGAGATGCATGGACTGCCATTTACAGATAGAAGCAGACATATGCTTCTGCTGGTGCCAAGAAAGCTTCTGTCTTCAGTGCGGGATACATAGTAGACTACTCCATGTTCATTTTCTAATTTAGTTCCTGTCATTTTCCTAAGTCCATGTTTCTTAAAAACTGCCTCCTGGTAGTGTTGCATGTAATACACAGGCAGTGCACAGCCACATCTGGTTTTTCACAAGTCCCTAGGGACTTGAACTCCAGTCTTCATGCTTATGCAGCAAGCAGTGTTACCCGCCGATCCTTCTTCCCATCACTTTAATTTTAATTTAGTTAGGTTTTTTTTTAAGACTCTAAGGTCTTAAGTGTTCAAGATAGAACATTGCCTATCCAAACAGATACACGAAATGCCTGTCAAACAGTGGAGAATGTCCCCTCAAGTATGTCAAGAGACTATTGCATATACATATTGTTCTAGAACTGGGAAACCTTTAACCTTGCTCTCATGTGCATGGTGGATGGGGCTGCAGTTCCAGATACTCGGGAAGTTGAGGCAGGAGCATTTGAAAACAGCCTGGGCAGTACAACCAGATTCTATCTCAAAAATCCCAAAAATAAGAACAAAACCCCTCAACTTCCTAAGTGATGAGGCTGAAAGAAAGACATGATGAGTTCAGGGAGGATCGTGGGTGAGATAAACAGGACGTGACAGCGTGTGAGACATAGGAAGGAGGAGGAAGGAGAGATGACGGAGACAGTATGTGGACGCAGATGAAACCCTCTTTACTGAGTTTGAATGTAGTAAACAGCATGTAGCTAGTTGGGTTTATGGGTGATTTCAGGTCCGTTTGTAGGGGAAGGCTACACTGTGAAATGAAAATCGCTCTAAATAGGAAGTACGTAAGTATGGGTGAGTTTAGAAAGTTGAGTCTAATGTTACTCCAAAATACTCTAAGAATTTATTATCTTTTTCTCATGTTTAAAAGGTTTTTAAATTACATTTATTTCTCTCTGTGTGTGTGCATGTACAGGTATATGTGTATGCACATGTGTACATATGTGTTTGTGCACACACACATGTGTGCATGTGTGTGTGTGAGTGCATGCATATGCTGCAGTGCAGGTGGGGGGGCGGTCAGAGGGAACTTGAGTTCGTTTTCTCCTTGCACCATATGGGTTGTCAGGCATAGTGGCATCTGCCTTTCCCCACTTAGCCATCCTGGCCCTCTGCTTACCTTTCTAGAAAATTAATTCCTGGCCTGGTATAATAGTTCATGGGGTAAGGCACTCATCGTGCGAGCCTGATAACCCGAGTTCAATCCCCAGAGTTGTCCTCTGACCTCCACAGACGTGTTGCAGCGTGCCTGCACCCACCCACACAAATACATACCATAATGATAAATGCATAAAATGTTTAAATGAATTCTTTTCTAAAGATTAATATTGACTGCTTTATTTTTATTATACTTGGAACGAATACACCTACTTTACTTGAAGGTTCATTTTGAGAGTTTGTCCTCTTATGTCACGTTTTGTCTGGCACTTAATTTTTATGCAGGTTGTGGGCAGCTGCAGAAGGTGTTACACGGAGTAAAGCTTGCTGTGGTTTTGCAGGGAGGGGCAGTGTATAAGGAGCACCTTGTGACTTACAGAAGAGCTGAGGGCAAGCCAGAGCAGTGTGCTTCACGGATGCACTGGGATTCCCAGACACGCATAGCTGATGAGAACCCAACCCGCTCTTTCACGGCCCTGGACCGAGCTTTTACAATTGTCTCTTAATGTCTCCTAGGCACCAGCAGGAACCAACCAAGGACCCTGTCATCCTCAATGCCCTTTTGCACATTTGCAAGACTATGCACGACTCTGTGAAGTAAGCTGCTCTTAAAACTGAATTGCAATGTGGCCGGAATGCATTAGGGGGTGACATCTGTAAGCAGCTGCTGCAAACAGCTTGACCTGGTCTAGATTCCCGAAAACTGGGGCTGGCAAGAGCGCACAGACTAAGAGTGCTCTTACTCTCGAGGTGGACTTGGGTTTGAGTCCCAAGACCCCGCTGTTGGTTCACGATCTCATGTAACTTGAGTGCTAGGCGAACCGACATCCTCTTCTCCCCTCTGCAGGCTTCCGTGTGCACATGGTACATATGAACTCATACAGACTCACACATACACATTAAACACAAGAAAAATGAAAAGAGATATCTGCTCACAGGGGCTGGGGGGATGGTTCGGTTGATAATGCACCTGTTGTGCAAACAAGAGGACCTGGGTTTGGATTCCTGTCACCCATGTAAAAACCAGATGCTGCTGTGCACATCTGTAACCTCACTGGTAGGGAGGCAGAGACAGGTGGATTCCCCCAAGCCAGTCCAACTATCAGAACTGAGAGGCTCCAGGTTCAGTGAGACCTTGCTTAGAATAGGTCCAGCACATTTGACAAAGATGCTTGACATCAGTCTTTCTATTTTCTGCATGCACGTGCGTGCACACACTATTGTCAAGAACATCCCAGACCTATAGAGCAAGGAGTATAGGCCAGCCTTCAGAAGAAACATGAGATAGCACATATTTTTTGCAGAGAGGTTTCTGTTGGGAAGAAGAGGCTACTCTTGTGCAAGTGAATTCCAACTCTGTGTCTCCTAGAGATCTGGAAGTGCAGTCAGTTGTGAGCTGCATTTGGAAGAACAGCCAGTGCTCGTAACTGCTGAGCTATCTTTCCTAAGCTTTCATTTCTTACATTTGCTTTATGTGTCCAGGTGGTCTAGTGCCAGGTCAAGCCTTTCCATCAGAGGATGAGCTATCCCCCTTTACTTTTTAGGTTTTTGCATTTATATTCCATCCTGTAAGTTATCTGTAGCTATTTTAGTCTCCAAAGAATTTTTGCCCAGCAGCTTGATTCACTGGGGAGTGTTTTAAGGATTAAGAAAGTTACTTCGGAACGTCATCATCCACAGGATGTGCCCCTCCCTTTAATTTTAGAATCTTTATGACTGTGCCTTCAAATTCGTGAGTAGTTATAAAAATCCAAATGTTATCAGTATTACACTTTTGCCAGGTGCAGTGGCAGACACTAGTAATCCCAACACTTGGAAGGCTAAGGCAGGAGGAGCACAAGTTCAAGGTCAGACTGTGTAGTGGGACTTTGTCTTAACAACAACATAATAATTTTCATAATAAATGAGCCCAGTAGATTTTAACTGAGCAAAAAAAGAAATAATAAAAGCACATAGATACTTACATTTGCAGGGTAGTGTTTGGCTCAAGAGACCTACAGTGGAGACTGATAGCTCTTAGGAACTTCACTCAAGGATCTAGTTCCTTCTGTGTTGTTGTACCATCGCTGAACCTTGCTGCCCATCTTCCTGCTGGAAGGTAGCCTACTTCAACTGTCCACAGTCTAAAGAACAGCAGCTTTTTCTGCTGGAAGAGTGACATTCAACCTGCATTCACTTTGTCAGACCTAGCAATGAGGAAGGCTGGAAGATGGTGTCTTAAGAACTACAGGACACTAAGCACGATTCTCTACACTGATAAGCCCAGTTCTCTGGAGGCTCAGGCAGGAGGTGAGCCTGGGTCATATAATGAGACCCTGTCTCAAATACTAAAACAAAAGGAACCTAGGGCACACTGTATGTCAAAAGAAACTTATTTTCCCTTATGACGAGCCAAACAAAACTTTCATTCTTGTTTATTTTTGTTCCTGGAGATTAAACCCAAGGCTTTGCACAGCACCAGGCCCTCACTCTGCTACTGATCTCAAGCACCAATGCCAAATTTTTAAAAACTTTAAAAATAAATTTGAGGAACTATTTGTATATATAATCAAAACCAGACTCAACAATTGGAAATTTGTATTTGTGTTAAATTTTCATCCGTTATAAATGAGATCTGTTTTCAAATGCATCTAAAAATAAGGTAGGTTGCTGTATGGAGGTAGGGACGGGTAGTCACTGAAAACAAACATCATGGGGCAGGGAGAGATGGTAGGCACTATGCAGGTATAGGTATTTGTTATCCTTTGGTGTATGGTAGAATTTTTTGAAAATGAGAAGTTGCCCGGTTTTCTCTGAAATACAAACTCTGATATTAGAGCTCTCTGCCTGAATTCCAAAGAAGAGAAAGTTACCTTCTCTTGTGCAATTGATAAACACACTTTCAGAATTGCAGGGCATCTTTAGGGAGAGGAGACATACATTTGAATTGTGTTCCCTTTGGTTAACACTTCTATCTGAAGATAGACAGGCAGCCTGTTGGGAGTTTCTGCATCTAGAAATTGCACAGGCGCCTCCCTCGGCTAGTTAAAGTGCCTGCCTCTGGTGCTTTTCTCTTCAGACAGCTACATTTGCTGCCCCCGTGTTAATTATGCACCATTATTGATTCTAGCGCTCTCACTCTTGAGGATGAGAAAAGGATGCTGGCCCATTTGATCAATGGATTTATAAAAATGGTAAGTTTGTGGGAAAGAAGCTTCAGTTCACTTGGAAACATGATGTAATGTTTATCCCCTCTGCGGAGAGTGGCTCACAGTGTATTCCCCAGTGCTTTTCATTTTTACTGAGATAAGATGGAATTAGAAATTTCCTATGTTTGCCGACAATCCCCAGGGAGCATAGAGGGCCAGGATAAGCTGACTGTGGGAAAAGTCAATGGGAAGAGGTGGAACAGGGAATTACTGGCTCATTCCGACAAAGTGTAGTTGAAGGCTCCTGGGGAGTGGCTGGACCTGGGGTCTCCTCTGCCACAGGACCTCCCATTTGTGTCATCTGTAGTTCCACCCTCTTCTCCATTGCTTTCTGTCCTGTACAGGCTTACTTCCAACCCTATGGCCTAGCAAGATGGGCTCTTGTATGTTCTGGGACTGGAGCTCTTTGGATTAACTTGTATACTAGTTACATTGCTCATTTCTGTTATCTGACACAAGCAGCTTGAGTTTGGGAGTGCAGTCCATCAGGACAGGGATGGTGGTGATATCACCAAGGTAGAACTTGAAGCCACAATCTCTTTGTGTCCATAGTCAGGCAAAGAGAGGGGGCAGGGGACAGAAATGCTTGTGCTTAGCACAGTTTCTCCTTCTAATGTAGTCTGGGACCATAGCCCAAGGAACACCAGTACTACCTACGTTTAGGGTAGATCTTTTTATCTTTATTTACCCAATCTTGATAATCCTTGGTAAATATCTCAGAGGCTTGTTTCCCTGGTGATTCTAAAACACAGTAAAGTTGACAGTCGTGATTAACCATCACAGCTTGGGAGGCCTGAGAGACCCCTAGTGACCCAAATCATAAAGACCAAGAGTGGAGAGGAAACAGCTGTTATGTGGATCGTCAGGTGGAAAACCTGTCTCTGGGCAGAATGCCAAGTGTGCATATATGTCCATTGTATTCATAGACGGCTGCATGGCAGATTTCCTAAGTGTAGAAGCATGGAATAGCTGCTTTCCTTGTTCTTTTTTTTCTTATTTGATGATTGTATACATGTGAATCTTATATTTTGTTCATATCTTCCCATCACCCTCTCTCATCCCCCACCACCACCACTCCCTCCACCCTTTCCCAACAAGTCTGGCTTTTACTTTCATGTCTTTTTTTTTTTTTTAATTTTAAGATTTATTTATGTATATGGGTACACTGTAGCTGTCATCAACCACACCAGAAGAGGGCATCAGATCTCATTACAGATGGTTGTGAGCCACCATGTGGTTGCTGGGATTTGAACTCAGGACCTCTGGAAGTGCAGTCAGTGCTCTTAACCACTGAGCCATCTCTCCAGCCCCTTTCATGTCTTTCTTATTTTGATTTTTTTTTTTTGTGACCCACTGAATTTCATTAGTGTTCCTTGCATGAGCTTGGATATGGAATTATTTACTAGAACGTGGGCTTGTTGCCGCGAAAGCTGACGCCCTCAGCAGCCGTTGTCTTGTTCTCTTAGTTTGTTTGTACATCCGTGGGTTGACTGGACAGCCAGTCTTCTCCAAAAGGTGTCAGCTCATATGGCTCAATGGAGTATCCAGGAGCACCTTGCTTACCTTCCAAGGCTGTTGCTGGAGGACTCCATTTTCTATGTCTTGTCATCTGGTAGTCCTGTTTTTATATCTCACTTAGTGCTGTCTTTCATGGGGCCACAATATGGAAACTCAAGGCTTCGGAAAGCCAAGCTTTAGATATACAGTGACCTTTCACTTTATTCTGCTGAGTTCTGTTGACCAAAGTGAAGCACGGGGTCATCTGTGAGGGAGAAGAGGTAAAGAGACCTCACCTCCTGATGGGAAGAGCCCAAAGGAGAGCCCACGGTGGGAAGAGTCGCTTCAGTCTTCTATGGAAACATACTGTCATTTGCTGTCCTGATTCATCTTAATTCTGAGTGTTACTAAAGTCTTACTGTGCTGCGCAGCTGGCCTTGAACTTCTGGACTGAAGAAGTCCTCCTGCTTCAGTATTAGGATTGTAGGTGCACTTCACACACCTGGCTTGGAATCCTCTATTTTAATAAAACAGCAGAATCCAAACTGACTGGGGTAAAAAGGTTGAGAAACGGTGACCTGCTCAGGAGCAGGGTGAAGCCGCCCAATGGTTCTGTGGGTGCCATTAATTTTGATAAAAATATACAATCAGTCTTTCTGTTCCCAGGTAGGAAATGGACCTGGGGGTTTTTACCAAGTGCTTGTCCTTCCTCCTTAACTTACACAGCATGCTGATCCAGGGCAGTTTATCTTCTTCAGCTTTCTTGTCCGAAGGGTACTAAGTCACAGGGAGTCAGGTGTGAGCCTCACACTTACTATGGTGACAGGGTGCTCTGAGGGGAAGGGCACCCTCCTACTGTTCAGCTTTTCATAAAGCTGAGGGAAGGGGTGCCAAGGGGCTATGGTGGAGAAACTTCCTTTGTGACCCTGGCTGCCACTAGGAGCTGCTGAGGTCAGGTCCCCATCAGGAAACAGTCAGGCGTGGCCTGTCTCAGGGAAGCCCCTGTGACAAATGGCTCCCAGGGACCCAATTTATGTTCTGTGAAAATTCTGTGACTTCCTTTCCTTCCCAGTCTGGAAGATTCTATTTTTGCCCAGCTTCTATTTTGTGCCCTTGGACTTCTTGTCCTTGTCCACAGAGCTGGGCTGCTCAAGTGATGTTTCAGGTCTACTTGAGCTGAAGGGACATGAGACCTTTGTAGTCAGGGAGAAAGAGTGTGTGTGTGTGTGTGTGTATGAATGTTTGGGCATGCTCATGTTTGTCTTCCCACTAATAACTACCCTGACTGTACCTTTTCACGTTTTTCTCTCTCTCTGATCCCAGGTGTCCTTTGGCCGTGATTTTGAGCAGCAGCTCAGCTTTTACGTCGAGTCCAGGTCGATGTTTTGCAACCTGGAACCTGTTCTTGTGCAGTTGATCCATGTGAGCATTCCTGTCATGTGTTCTTTCAGTGCGTGTTGATTGGTTATCAGTACACCCCATACTCACTCAGTTTGGGAGTGTTCCTGTAGTTGAGACTAGGTCTCATGTAGCCCAGGCTGGCCTCAAATTCACTATGTAGCTGAGGCTCCCTTTGAGCTCCTGATCCTCTTGCCTCTATAGCACCATGCCACACCCTGCGTGCTGGGATCAACTAGCTTTTAGTCTGTGATTCTTCAAACACCCACCCTTCCTGGACTGGAAAGGTGGTTTTAGGTCCACAGCTTTGTTTAAGTTTTTGAGTGCGCATAGTAATTTTTCCTTTGTTTTTATGTTTCATTGATTTTTTTTTCTCCTTGTCTAAACTCCCCCTGCCCTGCCCTGCCCCAGGCTTCTCAGAAATTTGTATGCTCTCATTTCTGCATGAGAGAGACAAGAATAAAGTGGTCTGCACTGAGTCCACTGATGGGCGGGTAACCTGGATGCCCTTGTCTCAATGCTCTCTTCGGTTAGCATTCTGCAGTCTTAGTGATCCCTGAGTCAAAAGAAATAGTGACGATAAATGGCTAACAGCTTGTAAAACATCAGAAACAATAAAATAATAATAATATATACATTACATATATATATATATATATTTACACAAACACACACCCATATTGAAAGGAAACCAGACTGGATGTGGAGAACAGTGGCAGCATTTATGTGTGAGGCTCTGGGTTCCATCCCTATATCCAGCAGAACAGACAGAAGTGTGCCACTTGCACAACTGTAACCACTTCCTGCTGAAGTGTGTGCGTGCTTCTCAGAGCTGCACAGTCCCAGCCTTGGAATCCGATCACCTGCCATACCACTGTGCCTGGTTTCTATTCCTCATCTCTCTCTCTCTCTCTCTCTCTCTCTCTCTCTCTCTCTCTCTCTCTCTGTTTCTCTCTTACACACACACATACACACACACATACACAGTTTGCTTTGTGTAGTACTTGCTTTCATCACTGTAGCTGCCAGAGTGTGTCTACAAGGGATGAAATTCAGTGCAGTTTTGAGTCACAAGCTACATCACACCAGCACTTTGCATGACATACAACAATTGCTGTCCCTTAGACTCTGCCCTTGATTGCAGCTCCCTGGGGATGCTGTGGCACACAGTTGGGAACCAAATCTTCCATCATTCTGTAATCAATTAGTACCTATTGAGGAAGAATAACACTCCCTATATACTTAGTTCTTCTTCATATGTTATTTTTAACAAATCATTCTGAGACCTAAATCTAGAGACTTTACCTATAAAATGAGAGTTGGTCATAGTGCTCGCCCTATAGGCTTGTAAGGACCAATTGAGCTAGTGGTGTGTATCAGCCGAATAATGAGTAATAACAGTTACTGGTGTTAGTATGAACGCCATGTGGTTACACTGCTGGGTCTACTAGATTTGGAAGTTTCCTTGGAATGTGGAACTTATGGAAATTGGTAAAGGAACCCTGGCTATTCATTTAACAGAAAGAGTTAATTTGTTGTGCTCATTGGTACACATGACCAGCACAGCAAGTGCCCTCTCTCCTGCTGTCTTGGAGGTGTTTGCTCAAGCCACGGCAACCTAACCTGCCTAAGTTCAGTGTCCGGGGCTTAGCCGTGTTCTGTGTCTGCTTCTTTGCACTGCCATCTACAGAGTCCAGATCCTAACCTCCAGGAAGATGTTAAGTCGGCTTGTGATCATTCATTACCATTTCTGTTTTATTGTCTCCTCACAATCTAGAGTGTGAACCGGTTGGCAATGGAAACAAGGAAAGTCATGAAGGGAAACCACTCCAGAAAGACAGCTGCGTTTGTCCGGGTGTGTTCGAAAGATAAGTGCTCCAGACTTGGAGCTTTGGCGGCCGCCGAGTTTGCACACTGCTAAATGCTTGGTGGTGGGTTCGGGGGGGGGGTGCTAAATGTACCATGATAAGGATGGCAGCTTAGTGTTGATTTTCTAGATTTGTTTTTCCCAAGGAATTGATGGGCTAATAGCTTCTGTACCGGTTTCAAAAGAAATGTTCAAGAAGCCCACTTCAACATAAATATATCTCCAATCTCCAGATCCCAAACTCTGTAAAATCTGAGACTTGCTGTGAAGCCATACATGGACAGCTCTATAGGATGACTGTGTTTCCTGTGTAAAGTTACTGAAAGTGCTGTGCTCAGTTACCTTCCAGCTGTGCATGGATGAAGCACATAGGGATTCTGTGTTTAGACTTTGTATTATTTACACCAGTATTCCAAAATCCAAAACTCTTGAAGCCAGAAACACCCCAGATAAGGGATGCTCTCCCTCTGGTGCTCTGCGGTAGTTGAGGTGTGTTCGTATCTCTGTGTGCCAACTTTGTTCTCTTGAATGTTTTCCGATATATTAATATACAAAATTTCTCTAGCAATATCATTTTCATTTAATCTCCTCATGCCTGTAATTGGAAGACATAGTATAGTTTTTGCTCTTAGTCAAGATTGTATCTGAGTCAAAATTATATCCAGATGTCAGCTTCTTAAGTTGACACTCCTAGTCATAGTAGAGTGATAGTGTACCCATGTTTTAAAGTGAAACCACGCCCAAATGATTATAGTGAAGGGAAGTGTCCCCCCACCCCGCCCCTTTGCCTCTTGCCTCTGTCCTTAGGGCCAGCCACTACCAGGCCTTTTCTCCTCTCCAGCTAGCTTCTTATTACCCCCATATTTCCTTTTTCTTACATGTATATTTTATATATTGAAGGATGTTGTTACATACAAAACTTCCATTTCCAGCTCACACATATCAAATCTCTGCAGGATTAGGAGCACCCTCTCCCACTGAGGCCAGACAGGGTGGTCCATTTAGGTACCCGAATATTTCTTAGCAAGCAGTTTCTCATTTGCATACATAGAGGTGTTAATCTATGCATAAGTGCATCGAGGGATGAAGAGTTAGTTTTCAAATTCTCTATTTCCCTCCCTTCTCCTTCCCCAACCTCCCAGAGTTCATCAGAACTGGGATTGATGGGGAGTGTGGGTGCTCGTGTGTGTGTGTGTGTGTGTGTGTGTGTGTGTGTGTTGGGGAGAACAGAGGGAGTAAGTGTTGTGTATCTGCTTACTGATAAACATGGGCGTCTTGGTTAACTGTCCCCATCTCCTGTCTCTCTAGGCCTGTGTTGCCTACTGCTTCATCACCATACCGTCCCTGGTGGGGATCTTCACCCGCCTCAACCTCTACCTGCATTCCGGTCAGGTTGCCTTGGCCAACCAGTGCCTCTCCCAAGGTAAGCCTGTCTCTCTATCCTTGATGCCCTCTTGCTACTTAGGAAGTCTGACCCAGCCACATCATCCCTGCATATGTATACTGAGTGACACCTTGAAGGAGGAAAGAAAACAGCAGCCAGGAAATATTTTTAAACGTTCCTCTAGTAGGAAGCATAGGAGTCAGGCCACACAGAGGCAGATAGAGGCAGATGGAGCAATACAGTTATTTTTTTAATCCTGACTTTTTCCAGTCCATCTCAGGCCAGGTTGGTCAGCCAGACATCCTGGGCTCCGATGCCCAGAGAGCCTGAGAAGGTGGGGCTGTTTGGCCACAGCGGTTCAGGGATGGTTTTAGTGTCTCTGTTCATGTGTTTGAACACTAGACACATTGAAATGGAATCTAATCTTTGAAGAGCAGATACCCTGCTATTGACAGTGACACGCAATAGCACTCTCTGTGCAGCTCACGAGAGGCTTCTAAGTATCAGAACGGTGTTGGGGAGGTGAGACAGGGAAGGGAGGGAGCATAAGCTCAGCACCATGGTGTTTGGACTCCAGGCTGCTGCCTTCACCCTGACTTTAAGCTACTGCTGGGCACAGCGATGTGGTGTCTGCTTCATGTTTAAAAATTCATCTGATGATTTTTGCTTGAGTCTAAATGCAGTCACACTAAACCTTAAAAGCCCATCACTGTCGCCCTGAAAGCCACACAGAGCAGTTACTGGCCAAGTAAATAATGCAGCCAACCACTGAGGAGGAGAGAGCTGAATATGAAGCTCGTGGGAGCTGGCTGCTTTGTTTATCTCCGCGAACGTCCTCCCATCTCAGCTGCGCCTACAGTGTCGCCCTCCTTCTAGTTGATTCTCTGGCTTGCCTTCATCCCACCCTGACCACATCTCTATTTTCAGACTAGACCTCTGCCAGGGCTGAGTTCAGGGTCTTGAAACCCCCTGAAGACCATCTTAGGATGCTAGAAAAGGCTTAGTTCCATTCGATTGTGCACAAGGGTCCCCACACGGAGATAGGAGCATGCTGGCATTTACTGCAAAAACATCCTTGCCTGTCACCCTGGAGCACAGGGCAGCCACCAAAGGCTTTACACATTAGCACTTCTCACCTAGAGGCGGCCCAGAAATGCCTGCCTGTCTTTTCTTTGAGCCCTTACTCCAGATAACTTCTTGTCCTCGTTTTTCAGTGGCTCAGAAGAATGTGTGTGTTAATAAGGAGGATGTGGGAAGAGGAGAGGGAAGGAATACTTCTGATGGAGTGAATGGTCTAAGCAAAGGCTTGGAGAAGTAGGGCTGATTACCCGTGTGTGGCCACCAGCAGGGTGTGCTGAGGCCCTGACTGATGGTAGCTTTCAAGTCTCCAGGATACTGTGGGTCTGCCTCTGGTTCTGCCACTTTGGGAAGTAAGTGACCTTGGACAAGTTGACCTTTTTGTGCTTATCCGTGTACAAAGCAGAAGTGATAGCAGGGTTCCATCTAAGTTGAGAATACAGGAAGTTGTGTCCTTGAGAGCCGAGAGCTCTGCACTGCTGGCACAGGGTAGGTGCAGAGTTGGAATCTTAGCTGTCTCTACAACCACAGTGTAACACGGCAATGAGTGTAGCTGTAACTCTGACAGCACAGTGCTTTGGGAGTTTTGAGGGCCCAACTCTCTCTGGGTGTCTGTCTCTTTCTCTCCTCCTTCCCTCTTTGTCTCGCCTCTTCCTTGACAGTCTCCTTCTCTGTCAACTATCTTTCCATGTAGTCTTGCCTTGGCTGGCTTCAAACTCATGATCCTCCTATCTCAGCATACAATGTGCTGGAATTATAAGCATATGCCTTCACAGCCAACCCTGCGGATTGATGTCTCACAGGCAAAATCTTGGGTCTGCAGGAAAGCCAGTGTTTATTTCAAGATGACTGAATTGGGCTTCAGATCAGAGAGTGTGCAGTTCAGTGCAGCAGAGCGAGAAAGCCAGTGAGGCCAAGGGCCATGAGCAGAGCCAGCTTGTCATCGCTAGTGACAGTGTCTCTCCTCTTCTTAGAGCTCTCTGTCCTTCTTGTAGTTTTATTTCTATTTTTAAATTTTCCTTTGTTCTTGAGATGTTCATACCAGTGTACAGTGAAACAATCATATCTACTCCCTATTTCCTCCCCCCTCAGCCCTTCTTCCCCCACCCCCAACATGTTCCTCTTCCAACTTCGTGTCTATGTTTGTAATCGCCCCCTGGGTCCAGTTGGTGCTGCCCGTGTGCATGGGTTTGGGGACACCCACTGGAGCATGGGAAACCTGTCATGTCCTATCAGGAAGACAGCATTTCTCAGTAATCCTTGCCATAAAGTCTTTATTTTTAAAACTGTATATTTTAAACCTACTGTCCTGTGTTTTCCCCTTCTTTATGAATCCTGTTAGTTATGGGAGAATTTAGTACAATGTATTTGATCACAGACACAGCCCTCAGCCAACACCTCACAGATCCACCCCTCGCACCCAGCTAACTATGCTCTCTCGTTTCTCGTTCTTTTATTAAACCTATCAAGTCCAGTTTATGTTGCCCATATACTCTTGGATTGCGGCCATCCACGGAGTGCCATTGACCTTCTATATCACATTCCCTCCTCCTGAGGTTCAGAGATCCTTGTGGAAGAGAGGGGCAGGGTGTAAGAAATAGAGTAAGTCAGAGGGGACGGAGGATACAAGGGAAGAGTTTCCCAGACACAACAGGGCAGTTGTACATATGAATTCACAGTGTCTGCGGCGGCATTAACAGCACCTGCCTGCATGGGCCCAGGCCAGACAAAAACTCAGCCTAGAGAAGGGAGGCAGGCATGAAGCCGCACCCCTAGCTGGGGAGCTGCTGGCTACTGCTAGTGTCTGGGGGAGGAAAAGCCAGCTCTTTCCCGTTCTTTGCACCAATGTGCACCTTCTTTTTGGGGTGCTCCCCAAACCTTGGTGGGGACTGTGGCAGTGGGGGTGAAGTATTGGTGTAGACGATCCGTTTAGAGCCAAGCACTAAGCCTCTTCTCTGTACTCTGGCCAGCTCTGCCACTCTGTCTTGATTGCTGCTCACTATAGGAAGGGAACTTCTCTGACCAAGGCTGAGAGCAACCCCGGTGTCTGAGTGTAAGCGTGACTTTTTATAAGGCAATTTGACACCATGATGGGTTAGGAAAATGACAATTGCAGGCTGGATCTCAGGGCCTGTGACCACCCAGCCATGGGCTTTGACAATTGTTAGAAGTGTGGACACGGTAATATGCTTATCCAGGGCTGGTAGATATGTAAACTAATGCAATTACTTGGGAAATCAGTTTGGAGGGTTCTCAAAGAACTAGAACTGCCAAATGACCCAGCAGTTCGGCTCTTGGGATATAGACCTACTATAATAGAGGGACCGTCCGTCATCTCCATATTCACTGTGGCCTTGCAGTGTGGTTTTGATATAATGGGGGAGAGAGAGAGTAGATGGCCTAACCAAAACCCACTAGTTAGTAAACTAAGTGCGAAATACAATGTTTGAAAAAATTTCAATGGAATTATCTTGCATGGGTGGATAATACTGCTCCCACATTTGTGTCACTTAACCCTACAGTGCAAGGCATGGGATACATCCCTAGGAGTTACCGTGCAGGGAGGCTCCAAAGGTCTCTAAAGTAATACAGGCTCTTACCAGTGTTTTTGCTACCCATCGTAACTTCATGGTAAGACTGTTGCTAGAGACACCTCTCACTGACTGTAGATACAGAGAAACTAATCTCAAACTCACCTGGAGACTTCCTCTTTGCTGGCTAGCTTCCATAGTGCTAGAAGGTTCTGTGTGGGCTGCTGTAGGAGAAAAGACCTCAGTGGTCCTGCCTGCCACTGGACTGTGCATGCTACAGTAAGTACTGACTTGCCAAGAAAGATGTACCCATGGGTGCAGCAGCGGCTGTTAAGGGCAGACTTAGGGCAGACTTAAGGGCAGACTTGAGGCCTGCTCTACAGGAAGAAGTTTCTATTAGTTAATTTCATATATGTACGCGGTGTATTCTGCTTTCTCTCACCCCACCCGCTCTTATTCCCTTCTTTTAACTTTCACTTTTTTCAGAGTACTTTTTAAAAAATGTCAGTGCCAGAGCTTAGTTCATATGCTCTGTCTCTGGTAAACCGTCCTCAGCTCCCGCCCTCCTGCCTCTGCCCTCCTCAGACAAAGCGAGGCCAGCTCAGTCCTTAGCCTGTCTCTGATCCTCCTCACCCTCTATTAATTGCTTCCCAACCATTGTTACTAACTAGCAAATAGGTCATTGCTGCCCTGCCTTCCCTTTTCCTCCTCCAGATCGCCAAAGCCATGAGGCCTTACTTTCAATTTGCTGTGGTAGCAGGGCTTCTGGCATCGTGTCCACCTCACCTGTGTCTTGAAGGGGCTTCACAGATGAGTGGTAACTGCATGATAACATGAGTTAATTCTATTTTATAGAATCCCAGGCTGACCTCATACTCAGTAGCTGAGGATGATCTTGAACTTCTGACCCTCCTGTCTTCCCAGTGCTGAGATTGTAGGCACAGGCTACCACACCCAATTCATGAGGTACTAGGGACTGAGCTCCAGGATTTGTGTATGCCTGGGATCACTCTACCAACTGAACTACATCTTCAGCCCCTGTTAGTAAGATAGTAATAGAAGATCCAGGCACAACAGTCCATGCCTGTGACCCCAGGACTTTAGAAGCTGAGGGAATCCTTGTTCAGGCCAGCCTGGACCACAGAATAAGCCCCGTTGCAAAAAGAACACTAAAGACAAATGGGCAAACCTCTCAGAACGAGAGCCTAAGTAGTAAACAGTGGTATCTGTGAGGAAGACAGCCCCACCCAAGCCGTCTGCGAGTGATTTAGTTTTATATTTATTGTGAAATAAAGCAGAGTAGGTTCTAGCATGTGCTTCTACCTGAGGGCACATTGACTGGAGCTGCTATGCAGGTCAGTATGAGGAACCTGGGGAAGCGTAGAGCAGACACCACTGCAGGGCTACTGTTGGGAGCAGCTGGCGTCTTTG